TGTTTTGTTTTGTTTTGTTTTGTTTTGTTTTGTTGAGACAGAGTTTCTCTGTGTAGCCCCGGCGGTCCTGGAACTCACTCTGTAGCCCAGGCTGGCCTCAAACTCACAGAGATCCACCTGCTTCTGCCTCCCGAGTGCTGGGATTAAAGGCATGCGCCACCACACCAGGCCTGTCGTGGGTGTTTTATAGAGCTCTGGGGCTCCCTTTTTACATATTGGTCCTGTTTAGATACCCACACCCAACCCTGTGCCTTCATGTGTTCTTGGAACAAAAGGCCACCACCTCAAGGAGCCTGCTTTCACTTTCCTTGTTTACTTTTGTCCTTCAAGAGCTGTTAGAATAGACAAGAACAAAATAAAGCAAGGAGTATAATTAACTAGGAGTCCTGAGAATGGAAAGAACTTACTGTTTTTATCATATGGGTCTTTCACTTGCTTGGCTAGCGTTCCCCCAAGATATTTCATAATATTTGAGGTGTTGTTTCCCTGATTTCTTTCTCAGTTTGTCATTTGTATATAGGAGGACTATCTATAAATTTTGTGATTTGATTTTGTGAGTTAATTGATTTTTGTGAGTTAATTTTGTGCCCAGTTATTTTGGTGAAAGTGTTTATCACCTGTAGCAGTTTTTGCATCTATGTTCATGAGGGAAATTGGTCTAAAATTCTCTTTCTTTGCTGAGTCTTTGTGTAGCTTGGGGATCAGGCTACTGTGGCCACATAAAATGAATTTGGCAATGTTCCTTCTGTTTCTATTTTGTGGAATAATTTGAGGAGTATTGGTATTAGTATTGGTATTAGTTCTTTGAAGGTCTGGTAGAATTCTGCACTAAAACCATCTGGCCCTGGCTTCTTGTTGTTGTTGTTGTTGTTGTTGTTGTTGTTGTTGTTGTTGTTGTTGTTGGGAGACTTTTAATGGCAGCTTTTATTTCACCAGGGTTATAGGTCTGTTTAAATTGCTAATCTGATCTTAATTTAGCTGTGGCAAGTGGTCAGATACAATTCTTTGCATTGGTTCTCCATTTCCTCCTGTTCTCTTCCTACAATGCTTTGTAGCCCCTGTTAATTCTGCTCGCTCACTTTGGTACAGCACTCCTGGCACTGAGGCTAGCCACTGTCACCTGAATGGCTGGACCTGGAGGAAAAAACTTCTAACATTCTTTGACCTCTCTTGTGTTACAGTTCCTGGCTTCGTCCACTGCTGCCCTTACCTCACCCCTGCTGGGTGCCCCTCTGGTTCTAATTTTTTCTCAGTAAGTGCTTTGGGACGCTCAGCTAAGAGCATAGAGGGGGCACCTAAGGCAAGGGGGGTGCGGGTGTTGGCTCTCCGGGCAGTTGGTGTACTGCCTGCCTGCTCTCAAGGTCCAGCTATGTTCTCTAATTACCCAATTGAAAATATCTTTTTCACTGGCCACAACCCTCCTCTTTTTCCCTCTTCTGGCCACAGTTATGATCCTCCTATGGACTCTACTCTTACCTCTCCCCTTAATCTCTTGCAAGAGAGAGCTGGATACCCCTCTTAAACCAAAATCACCAGCTTTTAAAGGCTTACTCATCCAACTGCTGGGTCTGTCTGCCCACTAAAGTCCAGTGTTCTTGGGCTGCCCCTGTCTCCTTATCACTGTGGATCTACACCCCTCTCAAGCTAATTTTTACATAATGACCAATTCTTCCCAAGGCTCTCTACCCATAACAGACCTCCAAAATCACTCTGCTTTTTCTGACCCCTCTCCATCCCTAACTCTGAGCTATTACTCTCTTCCTACTTATTAACTCTACCAGTATCCTTCCCATTCAGACCCCTGACTCACCTCTGTCAAACACCTCCTATTCCCTGAGACACAATTGCAGATCTTTCCCTGACATTATATGTTCTTACAGGCTGCAAGAATACATCATAGAGATTCAGCTGTGTATTAAAGCTATACCTTGACCAGCCAAGGGTCTGTCAAGAGGCAAGCCATTTATTATGAATATTTGGTGCTATTTCAGCTGTCTTCTGCTATGACATTCCTGCGTGCTCAAATATTTCCAGACCTGCTGAACTTCTAGGTAACTAACTCCCCTGCTGAGCCTAGGAGACAAGCTGGCTGGAGATGCATAGCTTTGCTTCTTGTGCAAAGGAAGCTCAGACCAACCCCCTGACCCAAGACCTAGTAGCTCTCCAGAGCAACTGACTGAGAACAAGAGAGGTTTTTACATATCAAGGTGAGGGGTAGAATAACATTCCTGAGGAGGCAGAGAACCCAAGGGAAGAAAGGGCAGGCATTTTCTGTAGAAACAGACAGAATGGCATGGCCAGAGAGAAGAGAGGATGACAGAGGTTCTGTAGAGGGTAA